GTAAATTGCTAAGAAAAAATATTTAATTAAAATATAATAAATTTATTTTTAAACCTTAATATTATAGTATATATAATTCTAAAAGTATAGTTTAAAATAACAATCATTAGATTTAATATTATTAATAAACTTTTTAATTTATTTTATAAAATGTAATGTATCAGAAGTGATGATACGGCCTATATTATGAATGATGACATTTAATGTTAATAATAAAGAAAAATGTGTATATGCGCTTTATTATGAATAAGTAATTGAATACGCTATCATTACTTATATGAATGTATTACAAATAAGTGATTGAATGCGTTATCATAGACTTATATGAATGTAGTTTAATGATAAATACATCTAATATAATATATTACTATTATAAAAAAAATAAATAAAAAGATCTAAAAGATTTTTTCATACTATTAACAGATTACACTTTATTACACTTTATAATGCCTTGCTGTGTTAATACGATCGTGAAAATAAATCAAGTTCGCCAGACAGACAAGGAAGAGACAAAATTAACCATTGTATGGGCTATTGGTGTATATCTGATTAAGAGTGAAGATCGAGAGATAGAAATTGTTCTTTTTGTCCTGATAAATGAAGAGGAAAGAGATTCTAATACTCAATCAGTTTTCATGAAAAATGAGTATTATAGTGTAAGTAGAAAAGTCGTACCTGGAACTCACAATAACGAATTAAGACTGAAAGTAGGTACAGATATATTTAAATAAAATTTTTTTTTTTTTTTTAATATTAAAGGTGACCACTTAGGCCATTGGCATGAGCTTTATTTCGGATAGTTACGATATTACATCAGATTCACGAGGATACAACTAGCCACACGTATACCTTTTGGGTATCTAATTTAAGTAGTCCGCCTGAGTTTAAATAAAATATTATGATAATTATAATATTAAAATTTGATATGTTTAGATGACAGTTACTTCTTCGACACATTTAACGATTAGAAGGAATCTTGGCTCAAACAGATACCCATTGAAAACTTTATTAGTTGGTGTCGTGCAAGATATACCAAAAAAAGTTGATAATGAGTATATGGTATTCAAAATATTGGTGAATGATTATGCTGTCCAGCATTATAATTTTATTGTTAAGATAGTATTTCCATATAATAACAACCAATTTAAACACTTAATGAATTCTGTTTATCTGAATGAAATGGTACCTTTCATCGTGGGACACGTAGAAATTATAGATAAGAAACTATATGTTTACGCTGCCAATATCTTCTTTATTGATATCAATTTTACAGCTAAAAGAAAAATTTCTAGTTTAAATAATTCTCAAACTACAACGGAGATATACAGAACTGTTCGAACAAAACTCTTAAATGTGTATCAAAATGCTAATAAAAATCGACTGAAGAAACTTCAACTAAAACAAATAAATATATAATTAATTTAACTACCGATAATCTTAACATCTCAAAACACACGAAAGTGGAAGATGCGAAAGATGATGCCGATCTTTATGAACAAAGTGCCAAATGTAGTAAAAAATATACAAATGAAAGTAATGAATACGATGATGATATCGATATTGTTGGAGAAAGCAAATACTCCATACATAATCAAGGAAAGATAGACAAAGGTAAAGAAAAGATAGCACAACCTGTAGTACATAATACGAGAAGTCAAGCTGAAATAATTAAAAATATAAATGAAAAAAAATAAATATATAAATTTAGCGAAATTTATAAAAAATTAAACTTTTATATTGTGGGTGTGGTGACTTAGTAAAGTGGTGGAGTTGTCGCATCTCCAGATGGCAGGTCTAGAGTTTGAATCCTATGGACGACGATTTTGAAAATACTAGATCTGTATCAGTTAACGTTAAGATTATCTGTTGGATCCAGATATCTGTAATCTTGGTCACACCATCTCGAATAGAAGCTTCAGCGCAATAAATCCAGGAAACCGGAATTACTGAAAACCCATTTGGCAAGCCCCGAGTAGGAAGATAGTATGATCTTCGATGGTGCTACAGGAAGACCGAATTTGAAATTGGAGACTGAGACCAGAGAACCAAGCGACCAGGTCCTTGAAGGGGGACACACCAGCCGAACCGCTGGGTCACCAACCGGAGAAAAGGACATGTGCTCTGGAAGCATGTACCAAGAGAAGGGAGACTGTAAGGCACCTAAAGCCTGGGCAGACTAACCCTTCCGGGTTGCCGGCTGGAAGTAAGGGAGAGACCGGTAAAGAATCTAAGAAAGAAAGAAAGTCCGAATATGGGTACTAGGGTTGTGGAACCTTACAAGGGCGAGGAGTACGTAATAGAAGACTAATTAGGAAGGTTGTGGCTTGAGATATGGATCAGGTTACGACAGTATCCTAAAAGATAGCTTGAGATACAAACCTGGTGACAGCAGCACAACAGTATAAACATGTGTGGGACATGGACTACTCTGTTAGGTTTACCTCATGGATAGATTAGCCAGGAATGGTTAGTAAGTCCTAAGGTGGGTGCGAAATCTATAGGTGTCGCAAAATCTAGCATATGAATAGTGAGTTACACC